GGACCAGTTGCAAGTGTTTTTCCTACTCTGAAAAATCTCAAGTTCTTACATATTGGGTGGAATAAGTTCTCAGGGACGATCTCATCATTATTTGCAAATGCAACACAACTCGTCGGACTAGACGTGTCGGGTAATCATCTATCAGGAACTCTACCTTCACAAGTAAATGGGTTTTCAAATTTGGACTGGCTTATTCTGGGTCACAACTCGATCAAGGGGACAATTCCATCTTGGGTGTTTAACCTACCGACATTGGATTTCTTAGACCTCAGTCATAACAATCTCAGTGGCCCCATTTACAAATTCATGTCCAATTCATTGGTTTTCATCGATTTGAGTAATAATAAGTTGGATGGTAACATTCCAAGTTCGATCTTCCAACTTATAAACCTTACTTATCTCGATCTTTCATCAAATAACTTGGGCGGTACAATCTCCTGCAATACAAAATCTCTTGCAGTTCTTAATTTGTCTCATAACAATTTAAGTGGTGCTATTGCACGATGTTTGAGAAAATTAAGCAAGAATCTCTGGGTGCTTGATCTTCAGAAGAATAACTTTTATGGAAACATTCCTGACTTCTTTGCGAAGGATTGTAGCTTGGAAACTATAAACTTAAACAGTAATATGTTGAAGGGGCTAGTACCAAAATCGTTGGTCAACTGCAGAGTTTTGCAAGTTTTGGATCTCGGAAACAATAAGATAAGCGATGCATTTCCATATTGGTTGGAAAATCTCCAATTCTTGCGCGTTCTTATCTTACGATCTAACCGATTCCATGGAGTAGTAACCAATTCCATGACCCAATTTTCCTTCCCTAACTTGCGAATCTTTGACATATCTTGCAATGATTTCACTGGGCCTTTGCCAACAAAATATTTTGAAAACTTTAAGGCTATGATGAACATCAATGAAGCCACATTCAAGCTGCAATACATGATGAGGAACAATTCTTCTTTTTCTTATAACTGTGACTATTATGATTCATTGACGGTGACAATCAAAGGACCAACAACTGAAATGGTGAGAGTCCTAACCATCTTCATTGCTATCGATTTGTCAAGCAACAACTTTGAAGGAGAGATTCCCAAGTTTGTCGGAATGCTAAATTCAGTTCGAGGCCTCAACTTATCTCATAACAAGCTGACAGGTCCTATTCCGACATCACTTGGGAATTTAAAGATGCTTGAATGGTTGGATCTCGCGTCAAACAAGCTAGTTGGAGAGATTCCTCAACAGTTAACAAGTTTGATGATTCTTGAAGTCTTGAACCTTTCACACAACCAATTAAAAGGGTCCATACCTCGAGGCAATCAATTCAATTCATTTCTAGAAGATTCATACGATGACAACCCGGGATTATGCGGATTGTCATTGCCTAAGAAATGTGGCCACTCTGAGACACCACAATCACCACAAGTGATGTTTCAACAAGATGATTCTTTAGGGTTTTCAAGTGGGTTTTATTGGAAAGTCATATTGATGGGGTATGGATGTGGATTTGGATTTGGGGTTGCTATGGGATATCTCATGTTCTCAACTGGGAAACCTAAGTGGATTGTAAGACTTGTTGAAGTTGAAGGAAGCAGAATATGGATGTATTTCATATAGTACTACTATGATTAATATGAACCGTTAGATCTGTGAACTCGTTAACTTTTTCTGTTGAAACTTCTTGATCTGACAATCTATATATATTCATTTGATTAAATTTTTTGGTTAAGTACATCATTCCTCTGTTTCATATTTTGATTTTGTAATCTTAGTCTTGGCTTTACAAGTCTTAGCATTACTTCGTCTATGTAAGAGAGTATTGGCAATGCTATGGTTGTTGCTGTTTGGTTGGGTACATGACCATTGGAAGGAAGCTGAAAGAACATTGGCCCTGTGAAAGATTGTCGAGGCCACAAGGTCAACTAGACTAGATAATTCTCAATACTATCACGAACACTGTTAAATTTTTTACGTGATCACGTGTTGGACACGTGATACCATTAAAAAAATAATACGTGGTCACTTCCATTAAAAACTTGACAGATTGTAATTCATGCCGGTCTATCTGCTAAACCGCCCGAAGGATATACCTCCAAGTAACTTTCCCAAGAAAATACCATAGAGAAAGTCCCAAAGAGTAAAATAGTGTATTTATTTATGTTAGATAACCAAGTCGGTCTTCAAACTGCTAGCCCTGACCATCTCTATCGATATCGGAAATGTAACCATTAAAATGACGTCTTAGGATGATACCAAATATTACTTCCACCAATTAAAAAGTTAGGACTGGTTGATCCAATGATTGAATAAATAACGAAGGCTAAATTGATATATGTATTCCATATAAAGAAGCTGCTATTGCCAAAGAAAAATGGCTGCTGCAAGGGCGAGTATTGTTGTGAAAATGTTGTACTTTGTGTCACCATACTTATATTTGAAGGACTGATTAGGGTTATAATTTGGGTCGGCCAACTGCAAATAAATTTTAGATCAATTCAAATATTTGGATAAAGTTTCCTTGTATTCGGGTTAAGTTTAGTAAAAAAGATTTAAACTCAATTTTAAAATCGAACAGTACTTGAGATAAATGTTGATTTGTCCAAATTCAACTCTATTAATATTTCTACTGAATAATTGGGTTAAATAAGATAATATGTAGTCTACATAAAGTAGAGATGACATACTATTGTTATTGTATAATACATTGAATTCGCATGATTTTTAACTAATGAACCCAAATTCAAATCCAAAATTGTAGTTGGAGTTGTGTACTCTCCACCCCATGAATTAACTACCACTAAAAATCACCCTATAGTCTACTACAACTAAAAAAAAAAAAAAGTAGTCTAATATAACTATTACTCAATATTCCAAGTAAAAAGGTCAAAAAATATAAAAATACTAAAAAAATTATGTTTATATAATAAAATAACTTACAATTCAAATTTCAAAAGTTAACAAAATGACTTTTGTTATTCGCGGTTGAGATCGCTTTAAATTTTAATTTAAAATTAATTTAATAACTAATATTAACACTCTAAATTTAATAGAAAAAATGGATCTGTAAGAGTGTATTTAGAATGACTTTTTAAAAATACTTATAAAAATTAATTTTTATAATACTTTAAAAAAAAATAGTGTTTAAAACCATCCCACCACTACCTCTACCCCCACCACCACCACAATTGCCACCGTTGATGCAGCCGCCACCGTCACCGCCACCACTGTCGTCACCACTATTACCATCATCGATGCTGCCACCGCGACTGCCACCACCACCATTGTCGCCCCCTCGCAGCCACTACGGCCACCGCCACCACAGTCATTGTCACTCACCACAACCATCATCGTCTCCTATCACCACTATTGCCGCCCACTACCTCTCACCCCCATTATAAATCGATAGTTAAATTCTTTTATCTTTTATCTATATTTGTGATTTAATTTTGGATATAAATATAAATATATTTTTTTTATTTTTTATTTTTTATTACTTTATGCCTTCAAGTACAGACAATAACTAGTATTCTTTATTTCATAGGGCGCCGTTAATTGTTTCTTAAAGGAATCAAATTTGGATTATCCTTGACATTTCAATTATTATTGAAGGAGTTTAGTGATCCATAAAAAAAAGAATATTTTAATGGGTTTTTCGCACTTTGTATTATGAAATATTTTAAATATTTTTAAAGATTAAATTTTGAGAGAATTTCACCCAGATTTTCTGAAATTTGTTATTTAATCACTCAAACCCCTGTCATTTGAAATATTACACACAGATCCTGAGTTTTGTATGCGCATAACATTTAGACCCATATTATAAATATATCCGTTAATAAATTATACTTAGACCCTCCTGAAATTTGTAAGCATATAATACTTAGATCTCTTAAGTTTAAAATATTATATTTAGATAAAAAAAATACTTCAATCAAAGATAGAATATCAAATATTTTAAATTTTACAACCAAAATTCATGTTCTATTGTATTATTTATTGAAATAAAATTAAAATTAAAAATTTATTTTTTTTAAAAAAAATCGTAATTAGTATACAATTATATTATCTATTGGAATAAATCTAAAAAATCAAACAAGGGATCTAAGTCATTCATAATAGAATATGAATTTTATAACTAAAATTCATATTCTAATATGTCATTTATTAAAATAAAATCAAAAAAAAAAATCTAGTGCTTTAAAAAAAATCATAGTTAGTATATAATTATACAATCTATTAGAATAAAACTAAAAAAAAACTAAACAATGGGTCAAACTGTAATAAATGCAATATTTTTTAACTTTAATTGAGGTAGTTTGGTATTTTAATTTGGTCGTTTAAACGATTAAATTAAATTTTAATAGACAATATAATTATATACTAATTATAATTTTTTTAAACAAAATTAAATTTTTATTTTTAATTTTATTTCAATAAATAATACAATAGAACATGAATTTTAATTGTAAAACTTAAAATATTTGATATTCTATCTTTGATTGAATTATTTTTTGTCTAAGTAATATATGTTTACAAATTTCAGAGGATCTGAGTGTAATTTATTAACAGATATATTTACAACACGAGTTTATGTGTTACGTGCGTACAAACTTCAAATAGTCTATGTATAATATTTCAAATATCAGAAGTCTGAAGATTAAGTGACAAATTTCAGGGAATTTGAGTATAATTTTTCCATAAATTTTGTATATTACACTCTTAATATATCAAAAGTGTTATAATGTGACTCATCTATTAGCTTCAGTTATTTTTTCTGTCAAAAACTAACTCATTAACATTGACTAAAAAATTAACAAAAAACTAACAAAGGGCAACATTGTAATATTTTTGATATATTGAAGGTGTAATATAAAAAATTTAATCTTTCATGTACGGAGTGAGAAAATTTTTCTAGGTATAAAGTGCAATTCGCCCTATTTTAATTGATATTAAAACTATTGAATTATAATTGGACCGGATTAATCCGAAGTGTGGAAGCAGCAAACCAGCTCTGGAAATAGAAGTATGTAAAACAGAGAAGCAAACAGGGTTTTACAGAGAAACTGTGGATAGATACAGAGAATATATATATACACAAACGCAACATATATAACGCCGGCAGCAACCAAAACGATTTCATTTTTGGAATTTTCGCAGATTCTGACTCAGACGCTTTGTATCTGTCTCTCTCTCTCTGTCGCCTGTTCTCTTCCTTCTCTCTCAACTATTCAGGTACGGTGAACCCAATTCTCTTATTGATCCCTCACTTTGAATCTGTTGCTGAAAAAGCTGTTTGTCGATGTAAACTTCACTGTATATGGCTTTGTTGGATCTTTTAATGTCATGAAGGTCTACCTAGGTTTTGATTTGATGCCGTGTACATGCCTCTGTACTGAACTGTAATTGCTTTAATTGTTTTCTACATGTTTGTGCTAAATTTAGTGTCTATCTGTTTTTATGATATCATGTTTTCCCAACTGAGAACTGTTCTGTGCAAAAAAAGTTGGTATTTGGTGAAATTCAAGAACAACAATTTGCCCAGCCTGATGATTTTTGCTCATAATTTGAAATCATTTTCTAGTTATTGAAGCTAGTGCTTTTGTTTCGTGGAGAAATTTTCTAAGCACAGAAGTTGAGATTGAGCAGCCCCCCTCATTAAAGAATAATATGATCCCCACTTAAAAAGGTTACCAAATGGCACTTGTTTTGAGTGCCCATTCAAGCAATTTTGATGGACCAAGTTTCTTTTGGGTGAATTTCTTGGAGTCGGCTACGAAGTCCAAGTGCCGGTTCTTTTTTCCTTGCATTCAAGTCGAGGATCTCCTTCCTTACCCTCATATGTGCAAATAAATATCCCATGTATCAGTTACATCCGAGTACAAAATTATTATTGGTCAAAGTTGGGTAGTTCTGATCCTTATTAGAAGATGGCTAATTAAACGAGTTAGATACAGATTCACTCTCATTCCATGTGGCATTCAGTGCCTTTTCTTTCTCTCAAGATTTTCTCATTAGACTGACCAAGTCTTTCATTTTACTTTCTAAGCTCCTCATTTTCCCTTTTTTTTTTCTTCTGATCTTCATGGTTATGTAGATTTGAGCTAATTTCATACTAACTGATATTACTCAAATCAGATTAATATTCTGTGCATCTTCATATGGTTTATGTGTTTGGGGGAATACGAATACCAATTAATAGAATGACGATCGGTATTGCAACATGGCTTTTCTTCATTCCGTACTTTTATCTACTTATTATTTTTTTTTGCAGTGATCTTGATTGTCAAAGACTTATTTAGTATCTTTATGGTAAATTGAGATTAATTTAATTCCTTGATGGTCCTTGTGTAGAATCTTGGGATTGAGAGAGAGACAGATAGAGGATGTCCGGATGGGGCTCGCAGAAGAGCTTGAGGAAAGCACTTGGAGCCATTAAGGATACTACCACTGTCAGTTTAGCTAAAGTTAACAGTGGCTACAAGGTCTGAATGGCTGAGATTTTCTTCATGGCTTTGTTCTTTTATGTGTTTTGCATTACGGATGTTCTCGTTGTCCTTATTTGGCTTCTGAAATATTCAGGAATTGGACATTGCCATTGTTAAGGCAACAAATCATGTTGAGCATCCGGCAAAAGAAAAGTACATAAGAGGTGAGTGAAATGACAAGTTTAGTATGATGGTATGCCCTTTTTTTGTCACTTAATTTTTGTAATGATTGTAAGTTTTTATCTGCCTACAGATAGGGATCTGAGGCAGTTCTTTTGTATTTTTTTGTTGCAGCTATTTTTGCTGCTGTCTCGGCTACAACGCCTCGAGCTGATGTTGCATACTGCATACAGGCTCTTGCAAGACGATTGTCGAAGACAAATAATTGGGCAGTACGTGTTCAAGGTTTATAATATTTGCTGTGTGATATATCCATTGGTAGAGTAATTCCTCGGAGCTGAAATTTAAGAAGCATTATTGGATGATTTATGTCCTGTTGAAGACACATTTTGTGTCAACGTTCAGGTTTGAATCCAGGGCATTAGACTATGTTGATGAGATTTCTAGGAGCTCTTTACTTTTTGTTATTGTAATTATATTCTCAATTTTAATTGATCATGATATAGTGGAGAGAAGCTAAAGTAGTATCACATATTGTTTTAATGCTGAAAACAGTACTTCATTTATTGTCTCACTTGGTGGGAGCCAGCAGTTAATAAATGGAATTCATGGTGAAATTTCCTTAAATGAATTGCCGAGCATTTCTTGTGGGTTATATTTTTTTTCACTGACGAATCTGCCATCCTTCATTATAGTTGGTAGCTCATAAGACACAAGCTTGGTGTTAATAAAGGTTAAGCCTCAGGACCAAAACAATGGCTGCTTATTTCATACCAAGATGCTTGCTTTTTTATCGGTGGAGGAAATATCCAATGCTTGAATCAGTTACCATCAAGCATGAGGATGAAATTGCAAAAGTAATGATCTCTCAGCTTTTCTCCCCTCTTTTTACTATTAATTCCTTATATTAGAGAAAACTCGAAGCAAATACCAGAATTACCACCTAAAAAGCACTAAAATAGTACAGTTTATACATTTAACTTGACTATGCAATGTTCAAAGTTGGCCTCTCCTTCAAAAGGAATCAATTTTGGCATCTTATAGATTGATAGAGCATTGGTTTTAATAGACAAGATGCTCCGCTACTCTCTTGTATTATTCTTCATAGACCTATTACAAACATGGTCCTTGCCATGTTCTCTTAATTGTTATTGTGCTTTCTCTGTTAGAGAAGACAAAGTGGTTCTCGTGTTATATTATATCCAATGCATAGATAGAATTGAATTAACACCCCCATCTACCATCCCATTGAACTTCTTTATCATCAGATTTTTTGTGGGACTTTTGGTTTTGACCTCACTATAATGGATCAATATTACAGAAAGATACTTGAGATTGGTATTGCCTGTAATTCTGTGTTACATTAGTTAATTCTTAGATTGACTGGATAGTTGCATATTCTTTACAGGTATTAGTGATTCTTGGTTGTCTACTATGTATGGTTTGATGCGTGTTTGATGTTTAGGTTGCCTTGAAAACTTTGATTGTTATACATCGTGCTTTGAGGGAAGTGGACCCAACATTCCAGGAAGAACTAATCAATTATGGCAGCAGTAGGAGCCATATGCTCAGTTTGGCTCACTTCAAGGATGATTCCAGTCCAAATGGTATGGTCTTTCTTTTATTTTTGAGTCCGCCAGAATTTACAGAAGGCAAGTTCTTTGGTGATGAATGTGTTATCTTCTGTGCAGCATGGGATTACTCTGCTGGGTGCGAGCTTATGCGTCATTTTTGGAGGAGAGGCTGGAATGTTTTCGTGTGTTGAAATATGATGTTGAAACAGACCGTCATGTAAGAGAACTTCCTATTATAATACGTCGTTTTCACTATTAAAATAACTTTTCTTTTGCTTAGGCAACAATTTGTTGCTTTTCTTTATATCTTCATGAGTATGAGATTATATTATTCTTGTTAAGAATTCTTATCTGTTTTGAGGGTTTAAGCTTATACTAGGTACAGCTTCTTGTGGTGTTCAAAATATAAATAGTGAACAGATGCATTTTTGCTGTACTTGAAAGGTCAATATATTTACTTTCAACGTCAAACTGGATGTAGATAGGATATAATTTGAATGCATAGTTTCTTGTAATTGTTGCCACAGTTATTGCTAACAGTGAGCCCTAGCATGCTATGCTTCTAGGTTATTTGTGACATACTGTAAATTTTTGGAATTGGTATCATTTCTTCTTGCTCAAAGTTTGTCTTCTGCCTTTTGTATATTTTTTGGCCAAGCTTTTTTTTTGCTTACTTATTTACTTATACTTTTTTTTTTTTTTATGTAAATTGTCAGATCCTGATCTAGTTTAATTAGGGAAAGCTATTGAAATTGACTTCTGCAGTTTCCTGCTTCACAGTGATGTATAGATCGAAATACTAGACCTGTGATATTGTTAAAAACGTATGTACAACAATTTCTGTGCAGTTAATCATTTTTTTCCTTTAGATAACATCAACATGCGAATTGTGGTGCAGAGAACCAGAGATCTGGACACTCCTGAGTTGCTGGAGCAGCTACCGGCTTTGCAACAGCTTCTATTTCGTGTTCTTGCCTGTGAGGTAACTTCATGAACTGCTCAATTCTATGTAGATGATTAATCGAGTAAATCCTTTATTATTTTGAAATTAAAATTTTTAGTTTCATAATCTTGCAGTTTGCACAAGGGAATTATTATCATATTTCTTCCTTATATCCCCTTGTTATGAGCAAAACTCTTGAAACTTTTATGCAGCCACAAGGAGCAGCAGTTCATAATTTTGTGATTCAATTAGCACTTTCAATGGTTAGTTTAGTTCTTCAATACTTTGCTTAATTATAATGTCATCTAAGTGACTTGCATATAACACTTTCTTGTTCTGATTGTCTACTATGGTGTCACATAGGTTGCTTTGGAAAGCATTAAAATTTATAAAGCCATAAGTGATGGTACAAGTAATTTGGTTGACAAGGTAGGCTGTTTTTTTGGCTGGTTACAAACTTAAAATGGAGTTTGGTTACAGAGTCGCATACCAAACTAGAGACATATGATAACTTCCATTTGTGACAGTTCTTTGAGATGCAACGCCATGATGCTCTTAAGGCTCTAGATGTATACAGAAAGGCTGGGCAGCAGGTACTATTTTGAGGAAAACTACTGTTATGTCCATTTGGGCTATTGTTCGGAGCAGGTGGAAAGAATATATGTCTTCATCGGCATATTTGTTTAGTTTATTGCCCTATTTTCAGGCCGAGAGACTATCAGAATTTTATGAAATATGGAAAAGCCGTGATGTTGAAGGTGGAGAAAGGTTCATCAAGCTTGAGCAGGTTGTATTTTTATGTGTTACCTTTTGGGAAATAATTGATTTCTTTTGAGCATTTTTTGTAGAACCTCATATTTAATTTGTTCATTTTTTGATTCATAATGAAGCCTCCTGCATCTTTTCTACAAGCCATGGAAGAGTATGTGAGAGAAGCACCTCTAGCTTCCACAGTTCGCAAGGATTCGGTATGGAAGTCCCTGTCAGACTTTTTTCTAAATCTTGGATTGGAAGCAATCTATATAAATGCCATATTTGACAACAGGAAAAGCAAAGAACATCAGATCATCACAAATTGCTTATCAGGATCCGTTATACATTATTCATTATTTATACGGTATCATCTTGTGGATGCAGCCTTTAGAACACTGTAGGATATTAGATAATAGAACAAAAGTGTAAAGAGATGTTGTATCCCACATTGAATAATTAGGACCACCTAAGATTGGTGCATGTACTTGAGGGGCCACTCAGCCCATTGACAATGGATTTTGGGTTGCATGCCCTAACATCAAAGCTGGGGCTTGGGGCATCAATAGGTTAAGTCTCTTACCCATTGAATTTTCCATTATGTATTTTTGTCTATTTTTTTTTTAGCCATACAAGCCCAGGTCCCACGCGAGGGAGGGTGTAAAGAGAGCTTTTATCACACATTAAATAATTAGGACCACCTTAGGTTGGTTTATGTACTTAATGGACCACTCCACCCATTGCCAATAATTGGTTTTAGGTTAGATGTCCCGACACAAATATCTTGGCTTTCTCGCCCATTAAGACATTATGAACTCTCTAATTTTTCATCAAGTCTAACGATTCATGTGATTGATTCATTTATCTTGTGATGTTTAGAAATTTATTGTTTTTGAAAGAAGGTGAGTGTACCCAAATGTCTAGCTCACATTAATGAATGAATCTGGATGTTTAAATGTCCTTGCTGCATTAAGTTCGCCATTGTTTGTTTTTTCCATCTATATATCTGAAAAATGCACATTTTCAGAGCTTTTATTTATTTATTTTTTTTCATTAATTCATTACAATTGTAACAATTTATGAAGCTCTTGACTTGTTACTGCAATATCAGCAATGTCAAACCGATATAGTAATATAGTTCAAAGTCCTATATTACCTGGAATGTTACGAGATTTCGTAAATTATATATAATATGTTAGTTTTCCTTATTGGTTTTATATCTTCAATGAAGCAGTCAATTGGTGAGAAGCCCCAAGTAATCTCAGCAATAGAATACAAGAAAATTCCAGAGGTGCAGGAGGCACGCCCATCATCCCCACGACCAATACCAGTACCAGAACCAGTTGAAGTGGAAGCTCCTGTTGCTGAGCCACCTGCTCTGTTGGTAATTCTCAGAATATCTGTTCCTTCCTTGTATGAACTTCATATTTGCTCTGAAATTTTAATATTTTGTGTAGTCTTTGGAGCTTTCTCAAAGTGACTGTGTTTCCATTTTGTAGGGCCTGAATGATCCTAATCCTGATGCTTCAGAGTTAGATGAAAAAAATGCCATGGCTTTGGCTATTGTACCAGTTGGTAAGATCTATTCAACAGTCTGAGCATACAGAACATCATGTTGGAAATTACTGTTGTCTTGAAAAGTCTCCTGATTTAATTAGCTATTTTATTTCAACTTTCAAGTTGCTTGAACTTTATGCCATTAGTTATTAATGGGTATACATCAGGAACTTAAACCAATTTGAGGATATATTATGTGGCTTCTCCAGTTGGATATGCTTCTATCCAAATTCTATGTATTTTCCACGGTTCTTGTAGGTGCGACTGACCAATCAATGTCTGCTGGTGCAAATCTTGCAAATGGAACTACAGGCTGGGAATTGGCACTTGTTGCTGCTCACAGCTCCAATGATGGTGCAACAGCTACTAGCAAACTGGTATTGCAATATGTTATGCTACTTTCCCTATATGTTTCTTGTCTAAATCTTTTGCCATCTCAAGGATGCCGTGATTTCTCTAAGTAGCATGTATATGGCAGTACGGGTATCCTCACATGCAGGCATGAGCAGTTACACATGCTCTTGTTCTGAGGGTTCAAAAAGTTGCTAATGAGTTGTACTTCGTACTGATGCTTAAAATTTTGAAATACAAGGCTGGAGGGCTTGACAAACTTACACTAGACAGCCTATATGATGATGCAATCAGAAGAAGCAACCAGAACATGAGCTACAATCCATGGGAGCCAGTCGCGATGGCTAGTCCCTTGATGCCACAGACCGCACATGACCCATTCTATGCCTCAAACGCTGTGGCTTCACCTCCTTCGGTACAGATGGCAGCCATGGCTCACCAGCAGCAGGCTTTCATGTTGCAGCAGCAACAGCAACAGCTACGGCAGATGATGATGATGAGCCCACAACTACAGCCTTCAAATCCTTTTGGCAGCCCGTATGGAGCCAATATCCATCCCTATGGCTTGGGTATACCTGCTCAAGCCTACAGCCCATATACAGGCCTTCAATAGACACCGCACACAAGATAACCTCTTGTTTTGTTGGAAATACAAGGAAGAAGATTACACAGTTGTAGATAGTTTCTGTTTTATAATAACAGGGAGATACTTGAAGATAGGCAGATGTCCATCATACGTGGCGCAATTGCTGGAGCTTGGACAAAATCATTTGTTCAAGAATTTGCGAGGAAGAAGGCTTTTGATGGTTGGTTATGTCCATCACTGCAGGTGGTAACAATGTTTTTGATACTGAAATCATTTAAACCCGCTTATTTGTTCTTAATGCCAAGCAGTAATCCTGTTTCCAGTCGATTTTTTCTCTCATCATTTTTTGTTGCATTGAACCAAGGTTGAAATAATGGAAACGATGTGTAATCTTTGTGATTAATCACACATCATATACCACACAATCTTTTACACAGTTTGAAGGCATGGTATATCTCATTCTTATCACCTTTCTCAAATCTCTTTTTTTCTTCACCTTTCTAGCTAAGTTCCGATGCTAGATAGAAGACAGTCTTGTGAGTAGAAGATGGTACTGTATTTAGATTAGTGTAACCTTTATTGCTGCTACTCAAATCATCTTCATTGACTTAGAAAAATGAGAAAATATATCCTATTCCTATTCACATTGTTCTCACTTCTACTAGCAGCAATTGCCCACTGAAATGTTGTAGATTGCAATATGTGAGGTGATTGCTTTTTGGTAATCATGAGAGGAAGAATTGTAGAAGCAAACATGTGGTTTTGCATTCAATCTATATGGTTTGCTGTTTTCTTTTTTTGGTCTGTATCTGACTAGCTTGAATTCCACTGAAAAAATTTACTAATCTAATGATGTGATTTTATTGTAATCGTTGGATTAATACGTTGGATTAACACAAAGTACAGGTTAAAGTAATCTATACAGTGCAGGTACAAATGTACATGGACCTCAATTACATTAATTGCCATATGGTGAATGATACATGTGAGTTGAAGTGAAACAAACTTACAAAACACAAAAATGATCAAGATTAATCTAATACTTATCCATTTTGATTTAATGGCATAAATTTTTTTTTAATTTATTTATTTTTTTGCTTAAAAATATTATCTTCTTTGTTCGATCTCAATGTTAGACAACTCAACTAACATAATCTTTAATACCAGATAACACACTAATATACACCCACATATAGTTTATTTTATCTCTGTTTTAAATTACTTAATTAAATTAAAAAGTAAAAAAAAATTATTATTTAAAATATAAATTTTTGTACGATCAATTCTCAATTTTTTCAGGCACGAGATTGTTGCTAGTTCAATAATAATACACCATGTGCACACAATATTTATATAGTAAATCAGTTAGCAAGTTGGATCTTTATCCTCGTATACATTTTTCCCCCAAAAAATATCGTATCACCAAATTTTATTACATGTTCAATCATTTAATATTTAGTTAATTTATAGTTACACAACTTTTATTTCATACATTATTTATATATGATAGTGTATACATGTTAAAAAATTTTTTTGAAGTTATGCATTTTGAAAAAATTTTGACGCTACTTTTAAAAAAACAATAGGTAAAAATTAATTTTAAATGATGTGAGCAAAAAAATTAATTTTAAATTTGATATAATAGAATTAATTTTTTTAAACTCTAAGATTTTATATTTCATCTTACGTTTAGGTGTAAGTTGTGACTAGTATATTTAATATTATATGTAAAAAGTTGAATTTTTAATTTATAAAAGCACAATAACAGTTAATATTGATTCAATCTTCGTCTATTTTGATCCAATGATATAAAATTCATAAAAAAAAAAATTGTTATCCAAAATAATCAATTTCTTTGCACGACCTTAAATGCTAGATAACCCAATTAATACAATCCTATCCCTATTTCTTTATTTTATATTTAAATTATGTAATTAAAATAAAATAAATTATTATTAAAAATATAAATATTGTAAGGTCAATTTAATTTTTGATATTTTTTAATGTTTTTCAGATACGAGATTATTGCTAAGGACATCTCTAACTCAGATTCAAATTTAAATTTGAGTGAAAAATTTTTTCAACCCTTACTCAAATTTATGCCAAATTAAGAGAGACTTTTTTTTTTTACTCAAATTAAAGGAATTTCAAATCTTTATCCAAATATTTAATTGTGAGATTTCACCATCTTTTAAAGATCTAATGGTCATCTTTACTCTCATTTAATTTTGGGTTTGATCTCATTTAAATTTAAGTTTCTCCTTCTTTAAATTTGAATTTGTCAATTGGAGCCCTTTGTACCAAATCAAATTTTTTACTCAAATATTAACTTAAATTTGAGTAAAAATTTGAGTCATAGTTGGAGATGCTCTAATATGTTTATACTAGTTATTACCTGTGCTTGAAGGCATAGAATAATAAAAAATGATAAACAATAAACATATTTGTATTTATATCCAAAATTAAATTATAAATATAGAGAAGAGATAAAAAATTTAAAACATCAGTATGCAGTAGGGGTAAGAGGTGGTGGGCGATAGTAGTGGTGGTAGGAGACGAGGATAGTTGTGGTGGGCGACAATGACCATGGTGGCGGCGAGGATGGTGGTGGTGGCAGTGGCAGCCGTGGTGGTGGTGGTGGCAACGACGACGACGATGATGGTGGTGACAGCGGTGGTGGTAGTGGCGACGGTGATGACGGTGGTAGCGGCGGTGGTAATGGCAGTGGTGGTGGTTGTAGAGATAGTGGTGAGACAGTTTCAAACACTATTTTTTTTAAAGTATTTATGAGAAATAATTTTTAGAATTACTTTTAAAGAGTCATTTCAAATACACCTGTAGGGCTTATTTTTCCTATTAAATTTAGAGTGTTAATATTAGCTGTTAGATTAAAGTTAAAATAAAATTCAAAGCGATCTCAACCGCGAATAGTAAAAGTCATTTTGTTTATCTTTTGAAATTTGAATTGTAATCTACTTTATTATATAAACTAGTTATTGTCTGTGCCTTCAAGCACAGAGTAATAAAAAAATGATAAACAATAAACATATTTGTATTCATATCCAAAATCAAATCACAAATATAGAAGAGGGATAAATGAATTTAAGCATTGGTTATAGTGGGAATGAGCGGTGGTGAGCGGCAGTGGCTATGGTAGGAGACGGTGATGGTTTTGGTGGGTGACAATGACTGTGGTGGCGTACGGTGATGGCGGTGGTGATGACAACGATGACGACGACGACAGTGGTGGTGGTGGCTGGAGTGGTTACGGCGACAACGGTGGCGGTGGTGGTGGTGACAGTGGTGGCGGCGACAATGGTGGCAATGGCGATGGCGGAAATAGTGATGAGACGATTTTAAACACTATTTTTATTATAAGAAATAATTTTTAAAAAGTCACTTCAAACACACCCTGGAAGGACCTATTTTTCCTATTAAATTTAGGGTACTAGTATTAGTCATTAAATTAATTTTAAAATAAAATTTAAAACGTTTTCAACTGTGAATAACAAAAGTTATTTTTTTTATCTTTTGAAATTTGAATTGTAAGTTACTTTATTATATAGATAGATATATAAAACAATATATTTTCATAATTATCACACATGCATATTAGGGATTATAATAACAGATATCAATTGATTAAGTGGTCTTAATTACTCATTTATCCTGTGTTTTATTAACAGTGATAACCAACGTTACTCTCGATTATTATTTCCTAAAACTTGCTTAAGAGTGAGACAACTTAGAGAGAGAGAGAGAGAGCCTTGAGCTTGAAGAACAAGTAGTAGTAGTAAATCACCAATGTTTTCTCTGCATCTCAACTAATCACCCAAAAATGTCTTCTTGGCTCTCGTTCTCTCTCCCTAACCCTTTCCAATCCGACAATCAAAACCCCTCGTCCCCACCGGAAGACACTAAACCTCTCTCACCCAATCACAACCCACCTCCTCACTCCTCCGGCGTGAAGGACGACCTCTCCGTCCTCTCCCAAACCCTCACCCACCACCTCCGCGGCGTCGCCGCCTTCCTCGCACCCCCTCCTCCCTCACATTCCACCACCGCCGCCTCAGATGATGAAAAGGTGTCGTCTTCGCAAACGATTCTCGGAATTAAAAGCGATTTAGTTGAAATTGGGGTAGTTTCAAGACGGGTCTTTCGGTCCTGTCTTCGAATAAGGCTGTGTCTGAGATCTCTCGGTTCGCTTCCAGCTTTTTACCGTTCCAAAACGCAGGCGATGAGGCTGAAAGCGACGAAGACGATGACATGGTTGGAATTGCTGATGAAGTTGTGGACTTTGTAATGCAAATTTCATTGCGGCCTGAGTGTTGGACCGATTTCCCTTTGTCACTACCCAATGGTAATTTTTATTTTTTCTTAATTATATGCATATTTATAATTACTTTCTCATGCCAATTGAATTTAGTCAATTCACTATGTATACAAGTGTGAATCGTCTTGCTTCTACAACTTTACCAGTTTTTGTGCATTAATTATGGTCTGATTAATATGGGGGGCAGTGTACAATCCTACATTGGGAAAGTAGTTTTGATGAGGTTGTCATTTAGATTTTCACCTATAAGCTTGTGATTATCTCGAGAATGGCACGACCTTTGTCATGGGAGACTAAATAATGCAACATTTGGTGGTTATGGACTGATTCAACAGTGTTGTGGAGTCTTAAAATACTCTTAAGGCTCTTATTATTTAGTGATTGTAAATTCCATATACCCTTCACAATGAGTCTGCTATACTTGATTGTATTTTAGGACTACACATTGCTTGTCCATTTATCATGTCTTGAAATGGTGTCATTACTTTGCGGCAAAACCTCATTTATTTTGACTTGAAAAAAGGGTCAAAACTAAAATATTTTAAGGTTACTAAAGGCCTCAGTTCAAGTGGTAGATGTAACAACCTTTTACATTAGATGTAACAACCTTTTACATTAGTTGTACAATGATGTCATAGGTAACTTGATCATAACCTTGATCAACTGGCTTTTCTCTTTAGGATTCCCTTGCCCAAGTTCTTGTCCTCACCCCTGCCACTCTCATCCCTAGCATGCTGCATGTAGACACATTCCCTAAACTGATCATTTGTCTTCATAGTGGTTCTTGAACAGTATTTGCAAAAGATTCTTGATGGTAGACCTTCCAATCTGGTACCTCCAACCCAAAGCTGCTCCTTTCTCCATTTTTTTGGTAACTAATAACATCATCATAATACAACAGAAAAGAAACAAAATAAAATAATGAGTCGTTTAGAGGTTTTTTGTTAATGGCAGTGTCAGATTGTGTTCTTGATTGTAGCGAATTAATCATATGTAAGTTTTGTGGTTATTGATTTAGTGAATTGGCAATGCTTTGCAGTTATTGACTAGTGAATTGGGAATTCAAGTATTCCATGCAAGCCCTTATGTTTTTTGCAAGTTTGTGCACGTGTTACTATTTAGACCCAAAATGTAATTTCATGAGATCATGACACGTGGCATGACAAATCTAAGTGGTCATAATGTATTTTGGCCTTAAAGCCAAAGAACAAAGAAGCATGAGGCAATAGAAAAAAGGTCGAGCACAACTAAGTAGAAAGCTCGTCCAATGAACGAAACGTAGACATCAGGGGGATACATGGACACTTCAACAGAATAGCCAGATAATGGATAGAGAATACAGAAAAACTTGGCTAGGGGCGAAGCCACACAGGCATATGCGGAGGCAACTATCACTGCTCAAATTTTTTTTTTTCCAAAATGATTTTATATAGATTTTAACATATTCTAAGTTTGCCCTCACAAAAATACTCCCGTACATTGTAATCTACTTAATAATCATTTTTTACATTTGGATTTTTATAGTATGAAAACTAGTCAGGAAAAATTATAGATTTAATATTGCTCCATTGCGACCTAGATGACAAGGATTCAACTTGCAGAAATATCCTTTCACCTTTTGGGATAAGTCTGAGTACAATTGATCTTTCCTAGACTTTATAGTAGCGGGAGTCCAGGCATTGGGCCACGTATATGAGTATCTAATGAAATGTCATTATTGAATTAGTGGTGGGTCTCAACATTGAGTGCATTCTATTTGCTAATCAAACCATAGCAATGCATTAAGCATCTAAATTAGGCCCCTAAATTAAGAATAATCAATATTATTGTTGATAAAAAGTGCCCCCACTAGGATACATTTTTGGATCCGGATGAGACCATTACCGTTGAAGGAAGTGAAAATATGGAACATTGCCACAGTCCGGTCATTATTTAGTGGGAAAGCTATAACCGCTTGAGTCTGAAAGCAACTTGAACGTGGAGGATAGAGTTGATGAATCACGGCAAGACAGTGATCTTCCATCCCTATTGCAGCAGTCCATTTGCAAAAAAGAATCTATTCAGCGGCTTCAACAAACCCATCTGTCTTGTATATACTCATCAAAGATTGGTGGTGCGTACCAAACCTTTTGGAATTTGAGAAAAGATATCAATGTCTGAGTAGTGTCCTTCATTTGTAGAGCAATCATGGCTGCAGCAACTTGTTTGTTGCTATGCTCTTTCACAACCTTCCATTCATGAGCAGGATTTTATCTTTTGTTCCCTGAATGATGTTTAGCAGGATTGGATTACATCTTTGATGCCACATTATGCAGCAAATAAGCCACTATAGAACACTCTGATCTCCAAAATCATAGGTCAGCTGATAAGTAGTTGGTATTGATTCATGCGAATAAGAAATCATTGGTATGGAATTGCATTTCATGCCTAAATAGGCAGCAATGAGAAAGATTGTTGGCAATCAGCATAAATTGCATTCGATGGAGTTTCCCCCTTTCCATATTTTCCTTCATGTACATAGAACTACAAAATTTTGGTGCATCTAATGCCTTGACAAATTTCAACAGGATCTCTACACTATTTTGTAAAGAAACTACGATATTTTCAAAACCATAGTAGAACTTTTGATTACAAAGTATGTCTTTCCTGGTTAATATGAAATTGTTCTTTAATTTTGTTTCCATCGGCAAGAAATGATTTTGTCTGGGAAGTGGACATTGGGAAGTAACTGTAAGTGTTGTGCTTACAGCATAAAAAGTATAGTAATTTGTTGATGCAGAGGTGATGAACACTGCCAACTAGCTTGAAAGTGGCATCCCAAATGCAAAGAAGGAAGCCGCTTCTTTGCATGGTGATAGGCTGCTCATAGGTTTTTTATTCTCTTTTCTTTTTCTTTTTCCCCTTTCCCTTCTTTTTCTTTTGTTGTTATTAAAATGTGGAGATGTATGGCGTTGATTGCTGTACTGGTTGCCTGAATTTTGGCATTTTTTGTTGCAGATTTTAGTATGTCCAACGTTCAGAGAGATCATGCTGCAACTATCGAACATTTGGTGCCTAGTCTTGCAGCTTTGAGGCATAAACTTTGCAATGACTTGAGTGATGAACAATTTTGGATGGTCTACTTTATTTTGTTGCTTCCTAGGTTGAATGAGAATGATTCTAAGCTCCTAGCAACTCCAGAGGCAAGACTCTGTTTCATAGATCTCTTTATCACTCTTTTTTTGTGATCTGCATGCATTGTGAAACCTAAATGCAACCCGCTGTGGCTATTTACTGATTTTAGAATGTACAACTTGTTGGATTGCAAACATTTATGAACTACACTTGCCTGGCACTGCAATGGATAATTTATAGTTTCACAATATAGATGTGGTACAATGATAGCTTCAAGCAATAACACCTATATTGACCCACACCTGATTTTTGTTGTTGATACAAAGGTCAAAAACCACTTCTACCTGATTTTTGGGGATGCTGTCTAATTCAGGACATGACAAAAATGGAGATAAAGGTTTCTGACAAAACAAATTTCCATTATGCAGACCTATATAAATTTGTTAATTGGGTAGGGTGAACAACTGAAACCTTTATTCTGAAAATTACATGCATTGAGATGCAAGGAATCAAAAGAAACAGAAGTGCCATAGTTGAGAGCAAGGTTATCTGGATCGTGTGTTGCTTGGGTACGTGCTATGGATACGGGTACGCAATACGACACTTTCTTAGATATGTGGTACGATGGGAGTAGACTTAGTTGGTAAGTTATTTTGGGTCGCAAATCATTTTAGGACTCTTATCTAGATTGTTTTCACTACTATACAACATTATATGTTACAGAACATCAGTTAAACACTAAGTCAGTTACCATTTATCTGATATTTGTGCTTGATTTTCTAGTATCTAAAACAATATTAAATTATAAATTATAAATCTATATACATGTAGTCAATTAATATGTATTTTATATTTGTGCTATATATTCGAATGCGAATTGATTTAGGGTTAGTATTACAATTTGGAATCGTACATTTTAGTGATCTGGATTACGAACTCACCCCGTTTGGGATCGATGTACCTAGATTGTGGGTCGTCACAGATTTAGTGAATTGTGGTAACCATGGTTGAGAGGAATTGATGCAGGCTTCTAAAGGTTGTCTTAGCACTTAGTTTTCTTGTGCCATGTTAATAAGCTTGTATGATGTGATTTGACGTTAGATTTAAACTGGTGCTTCTATCAATCTTCCCTTGGAAGAATTATAGAAGATAAGAATTGGGAACAATTGACTAAATTTTGTGAGTGTATACACTGTAAGATTTGTTTAAGATGATTATGCTGTTACATTTACTTTTCATCCCAGCAATTGTTGCATTAGCTTGCTTTTGGAACTCTATTTTCTACTTATTGGTGTTAAACCGCTAATCTTTTTGGCTTCAAATTCGTATCACATATTTCCATGCATGGTCCGTAAAAGACTTCAATGTAAAACCCTCTCAGATAAACTTTGTAGATCTCAGATGGCACATTTAATTTATGTCAGAAAAATTTGTCACTCTTCTAGGTAGTTGAAGTCAATAAATTAGGGGATATTGGTGTGTCTATTCTTTGCTTGAGTTAGGTAAATTATATTAACATCACACCTCACAGGAAAATTCATAGGGGGTTACATGCATATCAGTAATTTTGTGTGCGCATTTTTTAGCACATTTCAATCTTTAGTTTACAACCTGTATGATGGCCGCTTGCTTGTCATCCGGAATGCTTACAAGTGATGAAAAAAAGTCATTTGCACGAACCCCTAAGAAGTTGTTTTCTTCTGCTAGATGAAATGGTGTGCCAATTATACCAATAAAAGGGTGAAATTATGCGTAATGTAGTCATGGATGAAAAGATGCATCACATCGATTGATGTCTTAGAAGCTATTGAGTGTTTCTAAATGTATTCAAGGTTATGCTTATCCCAAAATAAAAAGAAAAATTAAAGAAAAAAAAAGAAGAAAAACATGCCTTCAAAGTTACACTTTCTTTGTTTGCTTACCTTTCTGCTATATATTGTGCACACCACTAAAAGGACTATTAGAAAAAGCAGTATGAATAAACCCATCTTATTCGAGAAAGTTTCACGTATTTGTAGATTGTTGAAGCAAGGGAGACACTTTTGCAGAAGTTGCTAAACAAGAAGAACGCAGTGATGAAAGCTTCTGAGAACTCCGAGGCTGTTAATACGTTTCCAGATGGTGGTATAATTTATAGCACACAAGAAGATGAGTGCCCATCTCAGCAAAAGGACGTTTTAGCTGAGGTTGTCAATGCATTACAGGAGACAGAGATTGATGACCATGGGAATACTGAGCAGTGGTTAGAAGATGAAGATGTTGAAACTTGCACATCGGTAGATGCTCGGAAACTGCCTGCAAGTGAGGATGATGTCTCATTTAGTGATTTGGAAGATGATGATAACGATTTTTCAGGGAAACTCTCAAGTTTCAGGCCTGCACAGAGTAATAAGGCTTCTTCACCTGGTGAATGGGTTCAACTCAGGGACGCTCAAGGTGGTTTGCAGAAGGCTGGCCAATCAAGTTCCCAAGAGAAAGATTCTGAAGGAGAGGAGTCAAATGATTGGCTCACTATCGATAATGTAGATTCGGACAGTTATGCTACTGTTTGAATCGCGGTACCTGTAAAGCCACTGCTATTTGTTTCCCCCCCCCCTAATCTTTTTTAATATTATGGTTCTGTGCAGTGTCAGTGTGTTTTCTTTACTAGTCAATCGAGATGAATTCACATTATAAATCACCTAATATCACTCTGGATTTGGTGGTGGTTAGGTTGTGCTCCCTTTGCTTTTGTGTGTAGTTTAGAGCGGTCAAAACGAACAATGATTGTTCCAAGTGGTAAGTGCTGTTTTTCCCACTGCCCCTTCCCCCCTCTCCCCTCCCTCCTCCGCGGGGGCAACACACACTGATAGTTAGGTGCCTTGTTGGCCGGAGATTGAGAAAATGGGCAATCACCATAACCTTGTGCCCATTGATAATGTTGGGCTCATCAGACTAGAAGCAATCTGAGTAACAAATATGATAGGTGGATACCATATCTACTCCAATAGGCAATTAAATTCATTGATTTTTGACAAGACCTGTTAACATTAAATACTGAACAAGCTATGTTATTATCCAATACAAATATTTCAATTTTGACACCATACACGATCAACACTCCAAAACTGTTACTGTATGGAGGCATCACAGATGACAAAACCTACTCGCTCGTCTGTCCCCAATCAATTTATAGCCAGCCATCCAATATGGCTTTAATGGAAATCGGATTATATAATCAACTTGGTTTTTTTTTTTAATAAATACTAATATTGTCCGAGAATTGAGAAAGATCGAAAAATTTTGTTATCGAAGGATAAATTTTGCTGAAACATTTATAGCATATCTAACCAAACAATGGGCCACAACATTACCAAATCTGCAAATCCATGAAATATCAAAACTAAAAAAACTCCCATCTAAAATCCATTCTCCTTTCTCTTAAAGAGTGTAGAAAGCTAAAATCTCTAGTTATAAATCTGAAATTGAGAGAAAAAGAAAATGTAACCTCAAAATTTGAATTGCAGCAATATATGCAACAGACACTGCATGTGGAATAAATACTCCATTAGTCTATCTACAAAATGAAACGATCTCAGAAATTGGAGTCCATCACTTATAGGTATAATGGAAACTTTGATCAAAAGGTAAAGGACACATCCTTATCATCTTTTAACTTAAAAACAAGGGTTGAAAAAAACTAGAGAGAAATTAGTACACAATCACACAAAAGGACAACTTTATTTTCCTTGAAGACACCAAGTTCAAGAGAAAACAAGAAGCCTCACACAATAATACAAGCTACATACAATATAGAAATACATTCAAAATGCGCAACTAATAAACTATCTCGGCACTTTTTGCTTGTTCACAAGCTTCCATAGTTGTAAGAGTCCCAATATTTTGATTTTTGCAACCAACACTCGAGATTCAGAAGCCTATATGACGTCAAGCGCAAATCATCCCGACTCGAACCATTTCCATGAAACTGTTACATCTTATTTGGCCTTGCCGATATGGGGATCTGTGAGGAATGCACTAGTCATAGACATAATTTTTCGTATTATTATTTACATGGTAGCAACTCTTATACATTCATATTGAGACTATTTGCTTAGACTTTGGAAATTTATTAAGCTATATTGTAATTTTTTATTCTGTTATCAAGAAAAAACATTGGGTATGGCTTGACAAACTGCCAATATTTAAGAATGGACTAATTATTTTGGAATGAGAACCCAATACTTAGTAGCTACTAAAACATTTTCTCTGTCCGATTGGCCTTTGTGGTTTTGATTTCAAAATTGTGATTCACTCATTTAGTTAAAGAAAAAGAGCCTAGGATAATTTTAGAATCTCACAGGGGAAAAGTATATGATACGTCAAAACAAATAAATGTTCGCAACACATACCTCAGACAGTGCAGTTTGTGTTGGCTTGTTTCTTCTACCGTTGTGCCTATGAACATGCTTCTTTGTCCTCCTCCCATTTTTGTTTCCTTGACTTTCAACCAGCCTTACAATCCACTTAGGCCTTCCAGTTGAGAACATAATATATCCCATAGAAAGCCCAAGTACCAATCCACACCCATACCCCATGAACGTCACTTTCCACACGAATCCACTTGGAGACTCTGAAGAATCATCTTGTTGCAGTACCCATTGTGGTGGTGCTCTAGAGTGGCCACATGACTTCGGCAATGGCAATCCACATAGTCCAGAGTTGCCCTCATACGAGTTCTCTATGAATGAATCGAATTGTTTGCCTCGAGGTATGGGCCCTGTTAGTTGGTTGTGCGAAAGGTTTAGGACTTGTAGAAACATCAAACTTGTCAACTGCTGAGGAATCTGTCCATCCAACTTATTTGAAGAGAGATCTAACCATTCAAGTGTTTTCATATCCCCAAGTTGTGTCGGAATATGACCTGTGAGCTTGTTATGAGATAAGTTGAGGCCTCGAACTGAATTTAGCGTTCCAATCATCTTCGGAATCTCCCCTTCAAAGCTGTTCTTTGATAAATCAATGGCCGTGAAGGTATTAAGGACTTTCTCCATTTGAGTTCTCGATCCTTTGAGTGTAATAGTAATTGAATCAAAATAATAACTATTCATGTATTCTAGGCGGAATGTGGTTTCATCGATGTTCCTCATAGCTTTGAAGTTTTTGAAATATTTTGTTGGCAGAGGCCCGGTGAAATCATTGTACGAAATGTCAAAAACTCTCAAATTATGGAAGGGAAATTGGGTCATGAAAGTAATTATAGGCCCGTAGAATCGGTTAGATTGTAAAATAAGAACGTGTAGATATGAAAGACTTTCTAACCAATATGGAAATGTATCCTTTATCTTGTTGTTTCCGAGATCAAGAACTTGTAGCGATCTGCACTTTACTAAAGAATCTGGTACTGGCCCTCTCAATGCATTGTTGTTCAAATTTGCAGTTTCCAAGCTACAGTTCTTTGCAAATGTGTTAGGAATGTTCCCATAAAAGTTGTTCTTCTGGAGATCAAGCACCAAGAGACTCCTGCTTAACTTTCTCAAGCAATGCTTTGTAACACCACTTAAGTTGTTACGAGACAAAATGAGAAATCCAAGAGAATTTGCACCGCAAGAGACTATGCCACTCAAGTTATTTGATGAAAGATCGAGATAAGTAAGGTTCACAAGTTGGAAGATTGAACTTGGAATGTTACCATACAGCTTGTTAGAACCCAAATCAAGGTAGCGCAATGAATTGAATTGGACTTCGTTAATGGGGCCAGTCAATTTGTTATAACTGAGGTCTAAAGATTCCAGTGCTGGTAGGTTAAACATACAAGATGGGATTGCCCCACTGATAAAGTTATAATCTAGGCTAAGCTCCCTTAAATGTGAAAGCCCATGTACTTGTGAAGGTAGAGTTCCAGATAGTTGATTATATGACAAGCTTAGAGTAACGAGTTGTTGTAGTGTTGCGTTGGCAAATAATGATGAGATCTGCCCACTGAAATGGTTGTCCGAAAGATACAAAACAATGAGCTGCTCAAGGTTTGAAAGCGAAGGTGGAACCTTACCGATGAAATTGTTTCTATCAAGGAACAACGAACTGATTTGTGTCAAGTTCCCAAGTGATGGTGGAATTTGTCCTGAAAATCCGCAACTGCCAATATCCAAAACATTTAAGGACTTTAGGTTTCCAATTGAGTCGGGTAATTCTCCAGAGAAATTTGTGTTGAAAACATTTAAGGACTGAAGGGGACTGCTCGAGTTACATTCTGGAAAATGACCGGTGAGAGCCTTATTAAAACCTATAGCTAACTTCTTCAAATTTGGCAGTTGAAATAGCTGATCAGGAACTTCTCCCAGGAATTCACAAAAGAAAAGGCTGAGGAATGTTAAAGAAGTTAGATTTAACAAGGAACGTGGTATCACCGAAGAGATGTTTACGTCATCAAGATTAAGCTCTCTCAGTTGGGTCAAGTTTTGAACAAGCAATTCAAAACCAGCTTTCTCCAATCTCAATTGACTATTCCATGACAAATCAAGTGAAACCAGATTAGATAGTTCCGAAATTTCTAATGGGATTTGGCCTGAGAATCCAGAGGAAGAGAGGTTCAAATTTGTCAATTTGGAAAACCGATCAAATGAATTAGATGGAAATGGAGAGGAAACAAAGTCGTTGTAAGCAAGGTTGAGGCTTTGAAGATGAGGAGGGAGAAAGAGGGTGTTGTTGGGATGGATGGTGCCATATAGCCAGCTGCAGCTGAGGTCGAGGCCGATTACATTACCGGTCCTCCAATCACACTCCACCCCATCCCATGAGCAACAATCAGTACCGTTCTTCCAAGATTTGAGTTTTGGATAAGAAGGAATTATGTTGCGAAATTCACATTCCGATGAAGCAGATTCATTGAAGGAAAATTGTTTCTTAAACTGGAGCAATGCAAAACTCTGGTCTTGAGGGCAAAGTTGTGCACGGGAAGGAGTTAGTTGGACAAAGGAGAGAATGAAGAAGAAGAGGTGAAAGAGTTGACTGAGATTGAACCATATTGAACAACCCATCTTGGCTACTAAATTTATGAGAGAGACAATAAGACAGACTATATCAACCGAAACAAAGGCAAATGTCATATAAATAGGAACACTATGCAGGACCACATTTCTTCTTCTCTGTGGCTGAATTACACTAGCACAAAATGTCTTGGTTGAGGCCTTTTTTTTATTTTTAATGTTAAAAATTGTGATTAAAATTAATTCTTCTCATTTTTTGAGTCATAAAAGTATAAATTGAGTTTTTATATTTAAATTTTGTTCTTATTTTTTTTATTGATAATATAGCTAATCTAAAAGAGAGATTGGAGCATAATCCTTACGATTAGTAATATACTCTATATAAGAATAGATCTAACACAAGCTTATCTATAAAATTATGTTACTAAAATATTAGATTGTAATGATTGATCTCCTGCAAACTCATTTTTTTTGTAATCTCACCTTCATGGTATCGGTTTCTCATAAAATTAGATTTCTCACTTCTCTCGTCAGTACAACTTAGGCAAATTTGTAGAATTGAGAGGTGTACTTGGGTTCAACAA